CCGTCCCCGTACGCTCGTTACCGTTACGGGTCCGAGCAATAAAAAAACAAGCTCCAGCAGAACCACCAGCACGACGACCTGCACAACCACCAGCACGACCACCAGCACGACCAGCCACCAGCACGGCCACCAGCACCTCCGCAAGCGCGATCACCAGCACAGCCACCAGCACGACCACCAGCATGACCAGCCACCAGCACGGCCACCAGCACCTCCGCAAGCACGACCACCAGCACAACCACCAGCACGACCACCAGCACAACCACCAGCACAACCACTAGCACAACCACCAGCAGGACCACCAGCACGACCACCAGCAGGACCACCAGCAGGACCACCAGCACGACCACCAGCACGACCACCCAGCACCACCAACCACCAGCACGACAACCAGCACAACCAGCAGCACGACCACCAGCACAATCACCGGCACAACCACTACCAGCGACCAGCACGACCACCAGCACATCCACCAGCACGACCAGCAGCACAACCACCAGCACGACCACCAGCACAACCACCAGCACGACCACCAGCACAACCACCAGCACAACCACCAGCACAACCACCAGCAGGACCACGAGCACGAGCACCAGCAGAACCACCAGCAGAGCGCACGGTCGAAATAAAGCAGTGCGAGATCACACCGGTAGGTATGATGATAATGCAATCCTCGCGTCTCTGAAGCCAGACACCTGCGTACATTACGCTATACCTGCGAGCCCGAAGCCATGAACCCTCGAACATTGCGCGCTTCTCACGTATCCGAAGCCGTAAACCCTCAACAATATCATCAGAATGTCAATTTGTCTTGCCGATTACTCATCGTCTTCGCGTGAAGTCCCGACGCTGCTGCACGGCTGCTTCACGGCGGCTCATGATTTCGCTCTTGCATTGCCCATTGTCCGAAAGAGGGGGCCGGCGGCAGGGGGCAAAGCCCTTACGGATACATACATACATATATATATATGTGTGTGTGTATGCATACATTCATATACATGGGCATACATGCATACACACAACCATCCACACATAAGTGAACACAATTCTGCCTACCGGCCTACCTACCGAACTACCTACCTACCGACCGGCATACATACATACATACATACATACATACATACATACATACATACATACATACATACACGCACGCACGCACGCACGCACGCACGCACGCACGCACGCACGCACGCACGCATACATACATACATACATACATACATAGATACATACATACATACATACATACATACACATACAAACAAACATACATACATACATACATACATACAAACATACATGCATGCATACATACGTACGTACGTACGTACATACATACATACATACATACATACATAAATACACACATACACACATGCATGCATCCACAACTATACATAGGTGTATATATATCGACATAGACAGATGTGTATATATATATACATATACATATGTATATATGTGTACGTGTTCAGATACATTTGCACACGTCTGTATACAGCTGCGTAATGAACAGCACACAGCCGACCCAGCAACGAGACGACCTTCCCGAGCCGCCGAAGGCCCAGACACTCCCTCGAAGACCGACCCTCTGGACCTCGCCAGGCATTCCCGAGAGGAGCGCTCGGACCAGCGCCCCGAAGCGGGGGGAGCCCAGTCAGGGGCGACGAGGCGCCTCTCTCGGAGGCTTAGGGCAGGCAGACCACGCCCGAGAACCTCGAGCCCCTGCGATCGCCGAGCCCCTCGACGTGCTCGATCCTCGACCATCTGGTCTTCGATGGGGGAACCAAAAATGGCATAAACATAATGACTTCTCAGATCGGCGCTGGGGTCCCCTGGCGGCGCCTCCGGCGCCGCCCCTGGCGCGCCCCGCGCGCCAGGGAGGGGGGTCCAGCGCGGATCCAAGAAATCCGCGCGGACCTCCGAGTTGGTATGTTTATGTCATGTTTCGTTCCCCCATGTGAGGGCCACCCCCAGACCTTAGCTGCCCCGGTACGCAACACGCGACACGTGCCCTAGTGATACGGAGCCCCACGCGCAGACTGAAAACGAGGGTATGGCGCGATACGTTCGCCAAGACGTCGGCCGATACGCTGAGCCAGCACCCAGCGCATTCACACGGACGTTTCGAGCACGGCGCATGTTGCGTATCAAAACGGGCGCATCGAGGCAGCTACGCCCCAGACCTGTGCGGGGCTACGGCGCAAAAACCATGAGGCCTAAAAGCGCCCAACAATATCGACCCTCGAAGCTCGATCCTCCACACTGCCCCTCGTCCTCCAGGCGGGCGCCCCTGTCCAACCTCATTTGAACCTTGTCCCTGCAGGTCAGACTTCTGATATGCAGGGTTCAGAGTTCGAGGGGCGTCTGCAATTATACCCGTAGCACCCCGCAACTGCGGATAAGAGTGAGGGGGCGGGCGCGGGCGACGCGGGCGTCGAGCCGGCGGACCTCGTGGCCCTCACCTTCCCTGTCGATGGCGCCCTCCTCCTCCTCCTTATGTTCCTCCGCAGGCGCCGACGTGCTGTTGTAGAGTCAACGTGGGCCGGATCGGGGGAATGGCACTAGGGCGCTTTCCCAAACCAATGCGAGCAAGCCCGCCGCAAGCGCCGATTTGCGTGCTCTGACAAGTTCAGCGCGGGGTGGATCGCTGGTGAGCCACCCGGCACGAATGCAAAAACAGGCCGCCGCAGCCGCCGAAGTTTTGGCTTGTTCAGTGAACGTAGTGTGGGTCGCGGGTGGGTCGCGGGCTTTTCACCTCCACCTGGAAGGAACTCAAAAACAGCCCGCCGCAGCCGCCGGACATTTTGATTTGTACACTGAACGCGGTTTGGGTCGCAGGTTCTCCACCTAGATCGAATGCAAAAGAAACCCGCTGCAGGCGCCAAAGTTTTGGCTCGTTAAGTGAACGTAGTGTGGGTCGCGGGTGGGTCGCGGGCTCCCCACCTCCACCTGGAAGGAATTCAAAAACAGCCCGCCGCAGGCGCCGAACATATTGATTTGTACACTGAACGCGGTTTGGGTCACAGGTTCTCCACCTAGAACGAATGCAAGCGCCGAAATTTTGGCTTGCTTAGTGAACGTAGTGTGGGTAGCTGGTGGGTCGCTGGCTCTCCACCTTCACCTGGAAGGAACCCAAAAACAGCCCGCCGCAGGCGCCGAACATTTCGATTTGAACGCGGTTTGGGTCGCGCGCGGGTCGCAGGTTCTCCACCTGGAACGAATGCAAAACAAGCCCGCCGCAGGCGCCGAAGTTTGGCTTGCTTAGTGAACGTAGTGTGGGTAGCTGGTGGGTCGCTGGCTCTCCACCTCCACCTTGAAGGAATTCAAAATCAGCCCGCAGCAGGCGCCGAACATTTTGATTCGAACGCGGTTTGGGTCGCGGGTGGGTCGCATGTTCTCCACCTGGAACGAATGCAAAAGAAGCCCGCCGCAGGCGCCGAAGTTTGGCTTGTTCAGTGAACGTAGTGTGGGTCGCGGGTGGGTCGCTGGCTCTCCACCTCCACCTGTAAGGAACTCAAAAACAGCCCGCCGCAGACGCCGAACATTTTGATTCGAACGCGGTTTGGGTCGCGGGTGGGTTGCAGGTTCTCCACCTGGAACGAATGCAAAAGAAGCCCGCCGCAGGCGCCGACAATTTTGGGTGGGTCGCGGGGTGGGTCGCGGGTGGGTCGCGGTGGGTCGCGGGTGGGTCGCGGACGCGGTGTGGGTCGCGGGTGGGTCGCAGGTTCTCCACCTGGAACGAATTCAAGAGGAAACCCGCCGCAAGCGCCGAAAATTTTGGGTGGGTCGCGGGGTGGGTCGCGGGTCGGTCTTGGGTGGGTCGCGGGTGAATCGCGGGGTGGGTCGCGGGTGGGTCGCGGGTGGGTCGCGGGTGGGTCGCGGGGTGGGTCGCGGGTGGGTCGCGGGGTGGGTCGCGGGGTGGGTCGCGGGTGGATCGCGGGTGGGTCGCGGGGTGGGTCGCTGGTGGGTCGCGGGTGGATCACGGGTGGGTCGCGGGTGGGTCGACGACAACAACAAACAACAAACAACAAACAACAACAAAAATCCGCATCGCCTGCAGCCACGCACCCAGGGACAATGAACGACCCATTCGGTTCAGCACCCTCACTCTGATTGGTATACCCTATGAGTGCATCGGTTCCCCAGCGTCGTTTGAGTCCGCAGACCCGATAGGGTTCGCAAGCGGCAGCAAAATCGACCAATTCCCCAGCGCCCTTTTTCATCCCCGAACCGGTTTTTGGGATGGCCCTGGGGCCCGCCGAGGGCCCCAGGAAGCCGAGATCGGAACACTAACTGCATTCTGCTTGTCTCCACGACGCGCTGGACATCTGGGATTCCGTCGGGCATGTCCCCCTGCTGGCCTTTTTGCTTTGGTACAAGAAAACATGTTTGAAACATACCCCAAAAAGAGTCCGAACATCGTGGAACAATCGCCCCCGCACGAGTTATGTTTGCGTATTCTTGACTCTTCCTCCTGTAGAGGGACACCCCCGACGGAAGTCTGGGAGCAGTTCGGCGGTGGACAAATCTCCCTTTAGTAAACCTCCCCTTAGTGATAACGGCCTGGGACCAAAACCGACGGATCTGGACCCGCAAAAATGACGGCCGCGACGCCCTCTCGCGATCCGAAAACGGCCAATTCCTCAATCGACGTGTCAGGGTAGGAGGTCTAGCCACCTCCGAGCAGTGAGCCTAGAGCCGTCTGCCCCTCCCACGGGGTGCACCCAACCAGAGCCCCGAGGGGAACCCAGCCGTGGCCACGCGAGCGCCCGCGGAGGCCAAGACAGGCGGAAAACGCACCCCAGGCAGCTTCGATCCTCGACCTCCTCCTCCTCCTCCTCCTCCTCCTCCTCCTCCTCCTCCTCCTCCTCCTCCTCCTCCTCCTCCTCCTCCCCTCCTCCTCCCTCCTCCCCCTCCTCCTCCTCCCTCCTCCCCCTCCTCCTCCTCGACTCCCCGTGGCGTGCGGTTGGGGTCTGGTGGCCCTCCGCCGGCGCCTCGAGGCAGCGCGCCTGCGGCGGCAGCAGCAGGGGCGCCGGGTCGGCCTCGCGCGCGGGCGGCGCGACGGCCCCGACGAGCTCTTGCGGCGGGTGCACGCTGCGGAGGGCTCGCTGGCTCCCCAGACCTGGAAACGGCAGGGCACGACGGGAGGTTGTGCGGCGCTTTCGACCTCCAGGGGTCCTTCCTGGGCCTCGGGACCGTCAGAGAACGACTCAGGATGCAAAGCCAGTCTTCGGGAAGGGGTCTGGACCTTAGTGGGCCCTGGAAACGGCAGGGCCGTTTGATTACCGGTTCCGGGTTGCCGTTGTTTTGCCGGCTCCAGCGCCGTTTTTTTGCCGGTTCCGTCGCCGTTGTTTTACGGGGTCCCGCTCCGGTTCCAATCCTGGAGCCGTTTTTGTTGCCGTTTCCGGTCGCCGTTTTTTGCCGTTTCCATTTTCAAGGACACTTTTTCGGAAACGGTGAAAAAACGACCCTGCCATTTCTGGGGCCCACTAAGCCCGAGACCCCCTCGCACTGTGACAGAAATCACGACGGGAAGTTTTTCAGTGTTTTCGACCTCCAGGGGTCCTTCCTGGGCCTCGGGACCGTCAGAGAACGACTCGGGATGCAAAACCGGTCCTGGGGAAGGGGTCCAGACCTCTGGGAGGGCCGACGTTGTGGGAAATCATAACACCGGGGGTCTGGGTCTTTGAACGCAGACGCCCCCCCCCCCAACAGATCATCTGAATGAGCCGGCCGCTGGAACTCGATGGACCCTTGGCAACTCTGTGGCCAAGGGCCGCCGTCACGGACATGCACAGGACACTCGCAGGCCCAAGAAGTAGGAGCGAGGGAGAGGAGGAGCCAAGGCGCCGTTTAGACACCCCCAGTGTAAGTCGATGAGGAGGAGGAGGAGGAGGAGCAGGGAGGAGGAGGAGGAGGAGGAGGAGGAGGAGGAGGAGGAGGAGGAGGAGCAGGAGCAGGAGCAGGGAGGAGGAGGAGGAGGAGGAGGAGGAGGAGGAGGAGGAGGAGGAGGAGGAGCAGGGAGGGAAGGAGGGGCGGCCTGCGAGGCCCAAACGTCTCCAGCTTTCAAGACGGGAGTGTCCGATCGCGGCTTGCATCGGCCGCCCGGGGCGCGCTGGCGTAGGCCACGGGACCCTCAAACGCACACCCTTGCGGCAGAAGACCCTGGTCAACTTCACAGGGTCATAGACTCGACTTTGTGATTCTGATTTTCTTATTGTTCTGCTTCTTCTTCTTCTTCTGCTTTTTCTTGTTCTGTAGAACATTGGAGAGAGGGTCATGGACAGGGACACCCGGAGCGCTGCAACGGGACACCGGGAGATCACGGGAGACCACGGGAGACGATGGCGCCCCACCGCTTGCGGGAGAGCGGATCGTGACCAAAAAGCACGGTCGGGGCAGCGAGAACAAAGGACGCTCAGCACGAAGAGGCTCGAGGGACCTGATCGGACAAGAACGGGAAGCGCCGCTGTAGTCAAATGGGCGTATTGGGCGAAAAGGAAAAGGAAGGCGAGGATAACGAGGGGTCGATGACGAGGACGACGTGGCGAACGTGAGGATAGCGCGGGGGAGCATGAGGACAACGAGGAGGAAGAGAAGCACAAGGACGAGGACGAAGAGAACGAGGGCGAGTACGAGGAGGAATGCGGAGGGCGATGATGACGACGACGACGACGACGACGACGACAGAGGACAGTACGAGGCAATTGGAGAAAGACGTTGCTCCTGGCGCCGCGCGGGGTTCTCTTGGGGCATGTTGGGGGCTTCTTGGGGGCCCCTTGGGTCCTCTTATGGGCTTCTGGGGTCTTCTTGGGCTGTCTGGGCGCGTCGTGGGCTTCTGTGGGAGCTTTCTTAGGCCGTCTCGGCGCTGAGGGCCTCCTGGGACGCTCCCGAGCGTCACTTGGGGCCTTCTTGTCCCTTCTTGGGCCGTCTTGGGGTTCTTGTGAGCTGTCTGGGTGGCTCCTAGAGCGCTCTTGGGGGTCTCTTGGGGTCTTCTTGGGGCGCTCTTGGGCGCTCCTGGGGCTCTCCGGGGCGTCTTTTGGGCCTCCCGTGGGCCGTTGGAAAACACTCCAAGAGCGATTGGAACACGACATCGATGCGGAGTCCCCTCTTGGGCCGATTTTGGAGGATGTCTCGTGAGAAACGGCCATTTTTCAAAAACCTGATCGGACAAGAACGGGAAGCGCCGCTTTAGTCTATTGGGCGTATTAGGCGAAGAAGAAAAGGAAGGCGAGGACAACGAGGAGTCGATGACGAGGACGACGTGGCGAACGTGAGGATAGCGCGGAGGAGCATGAGGACAACGAGGAGGAAGAGAAGCACAAGGACGATGACGAAGAGAACGAGGGCGAGTACGAGGAGGAATGCGGAGGGCGACGACGACGACGACGACGACGACGACGACGACGACGACAGAGGACAGTACGAGGCAATTGGAGAAAGACGTTGCTCCTGGCGCCGCGCGGGGTTCTCTTGGGGCATGTTGGGGGCTTCTTGGGGGCCCCTTGGGTCCTCTTATGGGCTTCTGGGGTCTTCTTGGGCTGTCTGGGCGCGTCGTGGGGTTCTGTGGGAGCTTTCTTAGGCCGTCTCGGCGCTGGGGGCCTCCTGGGACGCTCCCGGGAGTCTCTTGGGGCCTTCTTGGCCCTTCTTGGGCCGTCTTGGGGTTCTTGTGAGCTGTCTGGGTGGCTCCTAGAGCGCTCTTGGGGGTCTCTGGGGGTCTTCTTGGGGCGCTCTTGGGCGCTCCTGGATGAGGATGCCTTCGATTAGGAACCCAGGGTCTCGCGACCGATGGGCGGCGAAGCGTCGGACACCCACCTCGCCTTGAAAGAACAGGAATGCGCCAAGGTCTGGGCCCCAGGAAGACGTTCCTTATCCAATGCCGCCACCGTTTAGCCAAGCGAGAGAATCGCACCGGGAACGCTGAGCTCTCGGCTCCATGTGTTTGCGAGGAGCTTCTCCCGCAAGATCGAGCCGTGAGGGTCTCTGGGGCTCGACACGGGGTCAAGACGCCAGTCGCGATTCTCTCACGACGTCCAGAGCTGAGGGTACTTTGATGAGCGTGTTTTCCACCACCACCACCATAAGTTGGATGGGGTGAAGGGGAAGGAGGAGGAGGAGGAGGAGGAGGAGGAGGAGGAGGAGGAGGAGGACGAGGAGGACGAGGAGGACGAGGAGGAGGAGGAGGAGGAGGAGGAGGAGGAGGAGGACCCCCCCCTCCAATTTATGGTGGTGGCGGTGGAAAACGCGCCCAGCATACTTGTGCAAGCGAGACGCCTGTGTGAAAGCCGCAGCCTGTAGCCTCGCCCAGTGGAAGAGCCCACGGCCCCTGGACACCAGAGGCACGAGCAGGGAAGGCCGAGACGACGAGGCAAGAGCTGGTGCTCCGTACGACGGTTCTCTCCGATGGTAGGCCACGCTCCAGGGTCCTGCCAAATTGATCAAGGCTGGTGGCGGAATACCCTCGCCCCTACAGTTCAGAAATGAGCGCAGGAGGGGGGGAGAGGAAGGGACGGCCAGGCCTGGTCCTGACGCGGCGGTGCGTGCCACGTCTGCGGAGGGGCTCCAGCGTGCACTGCAACGTTTGGCCGAAGACGCTGCTGGGCCTGGCAATCATGAGTGGTGCGGGCTGAACCGCCCAGGCTGACGCCGCCGAGAGAGTCCCCATCGTGTGAGCTTGTGATTCGTTCAGGGCTTGTCGTAGGAAAGGCATCGGAGGACGGAAGTAGAATTCCAGTAAGTTGAGAGGGGAAGCTAGCGAGCGAGCGGATGTGCCCTTTCCCTTCCATGGGCAGGGCGCGAGAGGCCGTATGGCCTCATGGGAGCACCGAGTGTCGGGCGTTGGCAGAACTGGGTTTAAAGGGACCTGGTTTAGTGATGTGTTCTGGGGGACGCCCCCGCCGCCCCGTTCCACTGACCGGAACTACTTCACCCGAAAAAAGCACCAACTACGGCAGACCTGGTTTAGTGAGTCTGGCAAATTCAGGGGCTCCGGGGCCCTACTACTCACCGGGTCCCGTTACCTGGGGTCCTGGCTATACCCGACATCAGACGGCGCGGGCGAAGCAGCACACGAACCGGCACATAGCGAGAGAGGGAGGAGGGAAAGGGGTCGAAGCGGGTCGCGCCACCCAGCACGGATTCTCGTAGCCCCTTTGGGAGCTCCACTGAAGGCCATCACATGCGCCCCGCGCCACCCAGTACGGCCACGGGGAGCTCCCCCCAAGGCCCCACTGGCTGTGATCAAATACGTCTCCCCCCGTCCATTTCGGCACACCTCTCACGCGTCTCGTGGCCCCGTACGGCCCGGCTCAAGAGAGTTCGTCGTGCACGCAAGGGAAGCGGCGCCCGTGTCCTTCCCATCTTTCTGCGGTCGGGGCGGGGCTGCTCTCGCGGAATCGGCCACGTGCAACGAAGAGGACGGGGCCAGGATGGGGGTGAATCCGCTCCAGGGCTTTCCGCAACGCTCTCAGAGCGTTCTGGAATGCTCGGGCTCTGAGCGGGCCGCGGGGCCCGACACATCCTCCAGAGCCGCCGGATCTCAGAGTTTCTCGATGCATCCTCGGCCGATGTTGTCCTCGCCCTGGCTTCGTCTCAACGAGCCCTTAGTGGCCGAGCGCGGCTGCCCGGCCCCCCCACGGTTAGGTCGGGCGTCTCCCCCTACAGGGGGATTTTCGACGGAAAAAAAACCAAAAAAATAACAACAAAAATAACCCAAAAATCGTCAGGGGATAATTTTTGGGGTATGTTTTGACCTCTTGGGGGTATTTTTGGTGTACTTTTTGTTTTTCGTCGAACATCCCCCTGTAGGGGGACACGCCCGACCTAACCCCACGGGGGAGATAGCAAGAGGTACCGGTGCCGCTGTTCCCCGGACATCTCCCACGGGCGCCTTCCGCCCAGGATCGCGAGGCGAAGCCGGCGGTGGCGGCGAAGGCCGCCCTCGGGTATGGCGAACGGGGGGATAGCAAAGGGGGGGGGTGAGAATAAGCTCACGTAGCTGATTTTCCCGGCGCCTCCCAGCGCCGGAGGCGATGCATCGAGG